CCAGCTCGGTGGAGGAACGATGAGAACGACTGTGCGTTAAAAACACCTGAGCAGCTGCAGAGGGGGGGGTGTGTGTCACTGGGGAAGGAGGGGGGGGCTGTTTTTATTCTCTGGCAACTGCACGCCATGCAGCAAAGCCTTTAATTCACTCACTCATTCATACATATTCTTATACACTCATGGGAGAGGGAGAAAGATAAGCAGGGAGATATCTGAGTTTTCTACAGCCTGGATCCATTTGAGATTTTGTGATGGTATAAACCATTAGAGATGTACTTATTTTACCTAATATCCTAATATAACAAACTGTGTTTTTGGTGTTTTTTTTAGCAGAGGTATAAGGAAAGGCTAATGTAAAAGTATGTAGTTCTAAACCTGTTCATTTCTAACGACGTGAGTGCAGGAACAGTCTCTTCACTGGTGTAGTCATGATGTCAGCTGATCCGAAGGGTCGAATGTGAGAAGGGGAGAGGGGTGAAACTTGTGCTCCAGGACTCCCCAGCCTCCCCAGGTTCTCTGGGGGCACAGATTCCAGCTAGCTGATGTCAGGAATTTAAAGCAAAGGAAAATGAAAAAAGCTAAGCTTTCTTTTTTTTTTGCTAAGCTGTCCCATAAGCCTCTAGACACATCTATTAACAGGCACCGAAGAGCTGGCCCTTTGCCCTCAAATGCCTCTCTCCACGTATCTGTGGTGGCTGATCTGCCCCTGGCCTGGGAATGAAGACAATCTCCGTCTACAACATCCTATTGGCTTCAATATCATCTAGGTCTCCTTCTTAACCAGCCCCTACATCTGCCCCTGTAATTGCCAATTCTGACAGAACTGGGTCGCACATTATATCTATATCTATATATCTGTTGTTTACTGCAAGCCAATTTTCTGTTCCATTGATCAAGGAGGTACAGTATATTCTCATTCATCAGCTACAACTACAAAATAGACTTGCACAACTGCGTCACCTCTCATCATTCAGCTTATTACAAAAATGCCCTGATTTACCCTCAACTTCTGATCTGTTGAAGTTACAAAATACAAATAATTCGAAATAAGTCAGTTTCTTTAAGGAATATTAAGGAGTTATCTGTAGTTAAAGTTTCATGCAATAAAACTTTAAAAATAGAAATACACTCGGTAACAACTTAAATGTTTTCTCTAAACTAACAGTGAGGTCCAGGCCTGACTGGATACAAATTGCATACAGAGACAATAGGTCAGTGGATGATGCTGCTAATATTTGCCTCCACTATTTCCTGCAACATCTGGAATCTGCAGGAACATATGTGAGACTCCGTCTTGTTGATCTCAGCTCTGCACTCAACACAATCATCCCAGAAGTCATTTGCAATAAACAGTCTCATTTGAATGTTCCCCTGCCCACCTGCAAGTGGATCATCAACTTCCTGACAAACAGAAGGGAATATGTGTGGATCGGCTCTTATTTGTCAGACTGCTTATCTGTGACACAGATTTACATAGTGCTTTTCATTCCAATACACTTGTGCAATAAATCTGCAGTGTTTTAATCTCTGGGAGGTTTGCTTACAGTATTGGCTGTGGGACTACAGACAACCAAACGTGCTGATGGGCGAATGGCCTCCTCTGTGTCCTTTGAAAATGCAACTGCATGTATAAAACAATACTAAAAATACTGTGGCACTGCAAAAGGTGTTTAGGGCAAGATGTCAAATCTCTCCAGCATCCCTACGGTCGGATTTATTTCAATGAAAAAGCACCACCAAACAGTTTGGGGGTTTTGCATAGTTAATGTCAGAAATCTTTTGTAGGAGTCTGATTGTTTTTTAACAGCGAATGTACAATCGCGAAAGCACTGCTCTGTGAAACGCAGTGCCTTTCCCCTGCCTTAGTGGCACTCAGGGACGGCTCACTCACGCCCTGCCTGTCCCCTGCTGCCTCCGCAGTACATGCAGAAGAAGAACCCTCTCTATAATGAGGTGAAGGAGGAGACGGTGTGGTCCATGGAGCGCTTCAACGACTACGTTAATGAGAAGTTTCGGGCTGTCAGGGCTCTCCCCCAGGACTGGGTCCTCAGTGTTTTCACAGTGAGTTGCGTGCGAGAGCAAAGGTGGCTGGGCTTAATTAGCATGATGGGGTTTCCATTGGAAACCAGGTGTCCCAGAGAGGGGGGGTGAGGGGAGTAAGACACAGCAGCATCACAAGGGAGGTGACGCGCTCCCCTGTTGCCACAGTAACCGGCTTCACTACAGGAGCCGTATTTTCGAGATTAAAATGTTTACTAATAAACAAGAAGGCATTGAAAATGACTACTTGTCATAGGGGGTGAGAAGGTTGTGCTGACTGGTATCTTTGTGAATAGTTGTTCTTTTTGTGCTATGAAGCCAGATCTAAAAGTGCTATCGGACTTGCGTGTAAAAAACAGGGCTGTGTGCTGCTTATCTGCTGTTTTTATCCACCAGGCTGCATGCAAGCCTTAGTCTCTGTGAGAGGCTGCATATCTTTCCTGCAGCACAGAAACACAAGTTACAAACACACGATTCTCAAAAGGCTTTAGAAGAAAGTCTGGAGCCACTAGAACTTTAAGCAATAACTTTGAACCAATAGATACACTCATCTGCCATAAATTACAGATTGCAGGTCTTGGATTCTCTATATCTCAAGAATCCTCATCCTGTAATTTCTTGTCGTCCCAAATTAGAAGCGAATGCAGCAGATCATGACACAGTGCTTCCTCGCAGTCAGACCCAAGCTGGAGCGGAAACTGGGGTACTTTGATCTCATCGGCTGTGACTTCATGATTGATGAGGACTTCAAGGTGAGGCCCATCGTGTTGGGACCCCCTAGCTCCTGCCTCCCTCACCTCTCAGTTTAGCAGAGGAGGCAGGGAGTCAGGGAAAGGCAGACGGTGTGGGATTAGCACAGGTCTGGCCAGGGAGATCAGCAAGCGAGACAGGCAGACTCGCAAATTACTGCTTCCTTTATCTTTAGAAACTGGGGCAGATACAGGCCCTGAACCCAGACAATCTTCCCAATATTCTGCTAAATACGGAAATGCATGTACACAGGACAACAGTTATACTATTTCGATTTCAACTCATGCAAACGTGAAAAAAAAAGATAAGTAAATTATATTGTTACGTTGTGAACCTGACCATAAATGCTTATATAAATGAATATGAACTGTCTGAGCAGATCTAATTCTGCTGTTTGCATACATCATGTTTAAGACAGCGAACACAAATCACTGTCTGGTTCATTAGACCGACAGTGTAACTCTGACCAGTGACATGGGCACAAAGTCGTCTTTAAAGGAATGCACTGATCACATGAACTAGCGATTGCATGTTCTTGTACAAACATATTTGCAGGAAAAGTCATGCCAAAAAGCTGTATGTTAACTCATAATTCCAGCTCCCTCTCTCTAAGAAGGGGCTGAATATGCTGGTCACCTTCACCAGAGAACATGGATGCTTTGAGCAGCGCGCTGTCAGTTTGGCTCGATTACAGCCAGGACTTTCCTCGAGACAGGTCTGGCCTCCTGCAGGGCAGTGTGCTGACTAATCCTCACACACCTCCGAGAGCTCCTTATGGGCCAGGCTTTGCTCAGAGGAGCCTCCTCATCACTCAGCTCAGCGCAATCGATCGCTTAGAATTGCATCACTCCCAAGATCAATTTTTATTACTGTTATTCCTTAAATTGAGAAACACCCAAAGGAAAAAAATAACACCCTTTTCTCAGTCAGTAAACAAAACACAGTAAAGACTTACTAATCTCAAAATCACTGACTGAGTCACCTAGGACTCATTGCGGTATGCCAGTTAGTCAGGTTTCGTTCCACAACAGGCTACACTGGTAAAAGCCTAAGGGGGGTGTCCGTTTATGTAGCATCAGTTGGTTGTCCGCCCTAATCCTGTTAATCCGTATTCTGTAACAGAGCTGCAGGAGACCAGTACAAAGATCGCCCTCTGTTTGCGCAGAACAAGCTCTACAGCCTCAGACCTCAGGTCTGGCAAACAACAAACACTTTTTCTTGGTAACAATCGGCATTACGCCCTGGAAAAAACTGTTGCTTAGCGATGTTAAAAAGCCCAAAGGTAAACACTGCATGGCATGCACCTCCGCAGTACCAGCCCTGGGACATAACCACATCCATATATTTAAATTCGCTTGAACACAACAACAACTGCCCACTGTCACGAGGGGCAGAGACACAACGAAAGCGGAAAGTTCCAGGAGAGGAGCTCCTATGGCAATAAAAGTGGGGTCTGAGTGACAACGTCAGTGACTTCTGCATATACAGTACTGTATGTCTCCTACAGCACCATCTTCAATCACAGTCTGGACCCCAAATCACTTCCTAGAGCAACAACAGCCCAACCCTGTTTGCCTTTTCCGGAGCCCATCCTGCCCCAGAACTGCAGAGTTTCTTCTGCGGAAGTGTCCCAAAGCCTTTGTGCTGCATCCTTCATGCAAGACATCAAACCGAGGTCCTGCTGTCAGTGACTCAGCAGCTGCGGTTGATCGTACAACTCTGCACTTCTGTTCTGTGTTCCTCTGGATAAAACCATCAGCTGTGTAACTTCTTTTTGCTTCTTAATCCAATAACTAGCATCAATACCTCCAGTAGGAAAGGAGGCGATGGAGAAGCGTGATCTTGCCTGCAGGGGGGTGAACTTTGTATTTCACAGACCTGGCAGGTTAGAAATAGCCATGACTGAATGCCAGTCCAGCATACAGCTTGGATCAGGGAGGCAAAACCCTGGAATGGGACACTGATTTGGGGGGGGGCTCTGATCTGTTGGAGTGAAGCACTGTTCTGATCTCTGTGCCTACAGGGCAAACTGCCAGGCTGGCAGGTTTAAAAGAAGGCAAGCCCAGACTCATCCCCACTCAGGTGAAGCAGGCCTTGTGGGAAGAGAGGCCCTGGTTGGGCTGCCATCAGCCCACTGCAATATTCAAGAAAAGTTCTCTAATGAAACAAAGTAAACATTACTAATGGCTGTGCACAGCCTGTCTCAGTCCTCAACACTTGTACAGACAGAATCAAGTACCAGACTATGTTCACAGAGGGTCCCTCTCATCTGCACTTCTACAAAACTGCAGTTTGGTCTCTGGCATGTTGCTAACAGGGATGTTAATGAAGAGAAAAACTCATTATCTGCAGCTCTCTCTTATGCACAACAGGCACTAGAAATCAGATATCTGGTACATGTGTGCTGCACCAGAATAGAGTACCAGAATAATAAAAAGCCACCACTGCAGTTAAATCTTTAACTATTAAGCTGATCTCTGGAGGATCACTGACATCCGTGTCTAATTAAAATAATAAACCTTCCTGTAAAACACAACAGCAGCACAGGCCTTCTCTTCCGTGTGCATAACAAGCTCGGTTTCCCCCACTCCCCACCCTCCCTCGTTTGCCATGGCAGCACACTGTACACAGCAATCCAGCACGTCTTCAGGCCAGGGAGCTATTCGGACCACTGTGAGAGCTGCTGGTGGCGAAACACAACTGAAAAGGGCTGCAAACAGCAGCTCAAATTCGCCTCCCAAGTGTGACCAGCTCCACTGAGGCCTTCAACACTTAGGAACCCAGCCAGGGGAAGACGCCTGCCTGAGAGGCTGCTGTAATGTTACCCTGCTAGCAGTGAAAGCTGGACCTGTGAGGACTGCGGCACGCTGCCGGTAATTCTGGAGAGTGTAACGGTAACTGTGGAGCATGACTCCCTCTGTTTGCAAACAAGCAATCAGCACACAGACCACTTGCGAATGTCCTCTTGACTTTGCCTGAACACTTAAAAACTAGTATGTTCTGTGATGAGTAGATCACAGCAATTACAGATGAATGATGCAAGACAACATGGGAAACAGCACCCAGGGGCAGGAGGCTGGGTCAGCGATGATGGGCAAACCTGTTACAATTATTACGAACACTCCCAATTCAGTTGAAGCACAGTCAGAGCTCTGTAGCGCCTGACTAACAGTTTGTACAAGGACAAACAAGCTTTGCACTAGTCACAGAAGGGCTTGCGAATTGCTCTCTTAGGACCTTCTCCACTCAGGCAGATCTCCGTCTTCCTGCCCTAGTGACGGAACTTCCTTTTTCTGACCTTCTCTCACTCAATTAACGGTAATGTTAAGCTAAAGATTTTTTTGTTCTAAAAAGGACAAGCTGTCATCACCAAAGCCCTACCACCTGCTGTCCAGGCCCTCGCTGTTCACTCACACACAGCTGGCACTGCCACCTCTGCAGCCCTGTGTGCAGGAGGCTGCTCCACTGAGCCATAATTAAAGGAGGGAAAGCAGCATGAAGGTTTTGATGGGATGACGGGAGAAACTGGGCCACTGCCTACTAACAACTAATAAAGACCTGCTCAACTACAAACACCACCAGTACCAAACTGAGGCGTAGGCTCTGTATACAAGACGTACCAGTCTGCCCTGCTATCACAAAGACGTACCAGTCTGCCCTGCTATCACACCTTTGAAAGAATCTGTTATCACCAGTGTCCTACTTTTATTCTGTAAATCTGCGCTATGATGTCCTCACACCAGGGAGAGAGGCTGGGTGACTGTGTTAACCACTACACTGTACACCCTCTCTGTATTCTCCAGAACACCAGTTCATTTACACATTCACACTGCATGACCATGGATGTTATATACACTTCTGACACCAGTACACTTCATTAATATGAACACGCTACAAGCTATTGAAACCACCATATTGCATGAAAATCAAAATGAGTAATTTCAAGTGTTTCTCTTAATGAAGCAAAAATAATTTTGTACAATAGACAATTTTAACAAGGCAAAACATACCTGGTTGCAGATCTGGGTCTGGCCGGGTTTCTGCAGAGATTTCACAAGGGGCTGACACTGCCCTCAGAGCTGAAGTAAGAGCTCCCCCCAGTGAGCACTGTGAATTCAGAAGAACAGACTTCCATCACACATCTTGTCAGATTTAATTAGGCTGAGATATTTGAGAAGGTCAGTCCAGACACACATTTCACAGTGCTAGCGAATTAAAATGTAATTCCTTCAATATCCTTTAATGTTTCAAAATGGAAAACCATGAGAAAAGTGGCAGAAGTATGGTCATTTCCACCCTTGAAATGACAGATGATTGGTCTTATTAATGTCCTCTCCATAGTCCTTTCACTTGAGATTCTGAACTTTTAAACAAACACTGCCACAACGTTTTAAATGCAGCAAAAGCAGAACTAGAAGAAAATCTGTTAATAAGGTGATTATTTTTGCAGGTGAAATATTTTATGCACTTAAAAGGTGTTAAATCGTTCCAGTATCTGTGCCTCTGAGCACAAGACTCCCTCCCCTGCAGGGGGCGATACCCCCCAATGCATATGGAACAAAAAGGACAGGCAAGCCTGCTGAGTGAATAAATACCCACGGGACTGCAATGTCTAGCTCTCAAGAAAGACACCGCTGGTATAACCTGACAAAAGCAAAGTGCCCAGAGCAGAGAGAATTCCCATCGAGGAGTGGTGTATCATGGCGCCCGCGCCGAAGGGAGGCGAATGCGTGGCGGAATCGTGGAGGGAAAGCTCTGAGCTGACGCACTGTGGGGACATGGTCTAACGGGGCTCCTGCCCACCCCCTCTCCCTGCCCTAGGTGTGGCTCCTGGAGATGAACTGTAACCCGGCGCTGCACACCAACTGTCAGGTGCTCAAGGAGGTGGTGCCCAGTGTGGTCAATGAGACGCTGGGTAACTATTCAGATTCACTTCTTACAATCAAATCTGTTTTTCACACTCGCATCCAGGTGTTTTTACTGAACACGGGTTGATGTTGCTGCATCACTGTGTTTTCTGAATTGTCATCGTGACCTGATTAGGGAATCAGGGCATAGGGAATGTCTGACAAAAGCACTGTTTAAATCAATAATGTGATAAGTCTAGCATTATATACATTTACTGTCGGACACACCATAATAAATTATGAGCTAAGTATAGTAATACAATAAGGGAAGTAAAATATCACCATTGGAAAACTGCAAATACCACTTACTGTACATGTAGTGTAAGGCTGATGTTAGTATTTTACTTTGTACGCTGTACTGACAGCAGTCATATGGGTCGTGTCATCAATCCCTGCAGACTGCTATGCACCAGCAGTCTGATCAGCGTCATTACAAATCCTGGCGTGAATTGCACTGCTACACACTAGCAGCATGAGAAAACTGCAAAACGTGGAGCTGATCTCTCAGTTACGCAATTGGCCCTAAACCGAGCAAATTATAGGATTAGTTTGAACTGTGCTTGCAGCACTTCAGCATGTTGGAGGTTGCCTTTTACTACGGCGCTTCACAAATAACTATCTTCAGTTGCGTGGTAAAGAAACAGCCAAGGTTCCAGTCAAGCAACTCATCAGTTCAATTATGGGATGAAGCAGAGTGCTCACATGAAACACCAACCAGCAGGTGAGCCAGTCCCCAGGATCAGGACAGGGCGATGTGGAGCCTGGAAAGGATCAGGCTGCTGTGTAACGGTACTACACTTTCATCACTCCGACACCCACAGCATGAACAACATCACTCAAGATCACCTTTTATAGGCGTCCACAGTTCCGCTGTGTTTGAGCATAGTCCGCTTCCGGTATATTACACATAAAAATAATAGTTTTGTGCACTGCTATACCGGTTCTAAGCATGAAGTAGTTCAAGTAGGGAGCAGCGTCAGCATGCATAGGCTGCAAAGGAACAAGTACAGGTTTATCCCTGCTGAAAAGAGAAGAAGACTCCACAGCCGAAACTGTGGGTTTCTTTTCTTCTCTTTTCAGCAGGAATAAACCTGTGCTTGTTCCTTTGGTGTTCTAAGCATGACATACTGGCACCTCGCTTCTATTTCTTCTCTTTCCTTCAGGGTTTCGGAATACCACAAGCAATTATTTGTTTGCTTTGTGTTTTTGGTAAAACTGCTGATGAAATGTTACAGAGGAAATCTTTTCTTCCCCAGACCTGACCATCGAGATCTTTAACAAGTGTCGCAAGAAACAAAGTCTGGCCCCGCTGGAAACTCTGAGAAACTTCGTCCTGCTGT